CGCTTCATCATCCACGGCTTCATAGACAAGGGGGAGGAGAGATGGCTGACGGACATGTGCCAGGTAGGGCCCTGCCCCCAGCCACTCCCCGCTGAGACCAGCACCCAGCACCCAGCTTCAAACACTTTCCAGGTCACTGCCCTGAGACTGGGAACGCAGACCGTCCAGCAACAGATGGTCCATCCTCAAATCTCCGAGGAAATCCTGGTTCCTCCGGAGGTTCCACTGTCAAGTTCTCCCGACCCCCTGACCTCTAGCCCGTCCTCTCTTCTGGAGACCAAAGAGACCCAGAGCCCAATCAAAACGCCCAGAAGCAGACGCATCAGCAAATTACCTGGCATGGGTCGCGGGTGGTTTATGTAAAGCCCCCGTGTGACATTAGAAACCCACGTAAACATGACCCCTAAAACCCTGCTGTCGCACAGAGCTCTCTGTGAGGGGGGAAAGGCTCCATGGCTTCATGTCCCAACCAGGAGCCACTGCTCCCCTGCGCTCACCTGGCACCTGAAATGCGGGGAGTTGACAAAAGGCTTCACTGTTAAATTGTATGGAGTTTCATTCATTGTAAATAGCCAACCAGGTCCAGTGGCCACAGCATTGGATGGCACAGTTCTGAAGGTATCAGAAATGTTAGTGATGAATCATTATTCATAACATCCATTTTCTGAGCACTTCCTCTGAGCCCAACACTGTGATCATAATTTCACAGTCTTTGTCTCATTCGACAGTTTCTCTCCCTGACCTGCCTCCGCCCGCTTACTCAGCAACATTGTGAGAAAGGTAGAGTTATTGTTCCCATTTTATAGATGAGAAAATTAAGGCACAAAAAGTCCAAAACTTGCCCAGAGTTCAATAAAGAGGTGGGAATGACCACCAGGTCTTCTATCTGTAAAATACCAGAACCTTGTGTCTACAGATTTAGTTTTAGGAGGAGCCCACGGGCATGGCTTTCCGCTTAGTCTGCACTGGGGGAGACCTCGAGCAGCTTCTTCCCAAGGGTGGGCTGCTCCTCTGGAGGTTTGGGCGTTCACACGTGTCCCCAAGTCCCAGAAGGACGCCATGTGAACTTGGAGCTGGGAGACTCAGGGGGATGGGTCCATCCCAATGCAACTCCTCCCTGCCTCAATCCCCGGGGTAGTCCAGGCCATCCTCCAATGAACACAGGCTCTGCAGTGGCTCTTTCAGACAGTTATTTGGTCCCATCACTGGACCAGTCTGAGCTTGGGCAGCACACGGCGGCCACACCACATAATGTAAAAGATGCACATGTGGGGAGAGTTGTAGCTACCTCCATATAAATGTCATCTTGTCTGTTAATACCTTCTAGCTCCCACCTACGCATTGTTGGGAACATAACAGCAGCTCTCCCATGGTTTCAGCACCTAATAGAGTGTCAGGAAACTTAGTACAAGTGGCAGCAAACTTCCCATAAAGGACTGGGTAGTAAATGGTTTAGCACTTGCAGGTCATATGGTTTCCACTCAACCCTGTTGTCGCTCCAAAGCAGAGGGGAGAGAATATGTAAACAAAGGGGTGTGGCTGTTCCCAATACAACTTGATTTATATGAGCAGGTGGATCTGGCCCTCCCATAACAGTTGGCTAAGCCCTGATGTAGTAAGCGATCCTTTTTCTGCCTGGCTGTGTCAATAACCATCTGGGAGACCTTTGGCCAGTCACTTACTCCATTCCAGGCCTCAGTGTTCACATCTGTTAAGTGGGGATCAGGTACCGAGTTCCTGGTGAAGTGGTGAGGATTGGAACAGGTGGGAGGAATATGAAAACTTTGACAAAAATGAGATGCTTGGTGGCTGTGAATTCCTGTCTCTGGAGTGTGCGGCCTGTGCCTGTTAATACATTGGATTCTCCCTCTTGTTTTT